TCCTGCTGACCTGTCATCCTCTAGCGTGTCAGCAGACTAGCCAACAGAGACAGAGGGAAAGAATAAGAGACCGAGTGAAAGAATGCCTGCTAGAGGTATTACACCTGAGCGCTTCATTCTGCTGATGCATGCTGTCAGACAAAACCACATCCACTTTCCAAAAAGATTAACAGCATAGACCAATCACACACCACCCACGCAAACACACACACACACAGTTTTACTGTTCTGCTTGGGTAACAACTTACAGCATCAAACTTAGGGGATAAGGCCAGTGTACTTTTTAGGCTACTGTCTCAAAGAAACACCAGATCAGCAATGTGTAAAGTTGGGTTGCACCAGAAAAACACAAAATGTGTAACTGCAGAGGCACGGCTGGTGAACTACTGTAGCTGAATAATGGATAACACAGTAGCCTGCCAGGAACATGCTAGCACTAGACATTGACATCATCTCTCTCCGGGTCTTTCTAAAGTATTTTCTATGTACTGGCCATGTACTCCTCTCTAGTATTTTGTTCTTAAGATTGCAAAATCATTTCATTCAATAAAGAGTTACTGAAGACCAGAGAGAGAACTCTGAGCTAGCTAGCCTGAAATTCTCGATTAGCATTTTTGTCAACTTAGCTGCTACCAGGATAGTTTGTAATATCTCTGGAGCTTCTCACTCATCCAGGTCATGGTATTCTACCTTGAGGATCTCAAATTTAAGAATCTCAAGCAAGTCCAATTGCCACTTTTAGCATGTTTGGATGCAAATGTCTCATCAGCTCCTGTCTTCTAACAGACTCTGCACCATGTCTCTGGTCGAGCAGATAGTACTCCAACACAGAACTGTAAATAAAACTCTAAATGCATAATAAGATAGCTTTTAGTTCAGCTCTCTCAGTACAATTTGATACTGGACAGTATAAACAAATCCACAAAATTCTTTTAAAACTAAAAGATTTCACTCCAGATTTTGGTATTTTAAATGCTGTTGTGACTATGTCTCCACACCAACATAGTCATGTTCAGTCTCAAGCTTTTGTCCTAACAAGAAAGTAAATCATTAAAAATGAGTCATTTCTAATAATAAAGACCAAATAATTTCCTAAAACAACTGGACTATGTGGTTACTAGCAAAGAATACTCATATAGAAATTAAGAGCATTAATTAAAGACTTTGTTCATCTGTGAATTAATACACACTTTTTGGGTTAGTGAGTATTTATAGCAGCAAGACAGTGCATGTGGGATTGACTCAAAATAAACTACAGTGTCCATTTTCACTGCAATTCTAGTTTACTGTACAACATGTCAGCCGGTGCACCAGCATGGCTCGGTGATGTTTTTTAATAGTCCTTGGACAACTCTGGAGATCTATGACAGGTTCATCCTCCTATAAGGTTTGTTGCCAATAGGAAAAGCATAGAGAAAAATCACCAGACTGTTCCTTTAGCAATGCTGCGTAAGAGCGACTTCCACCAAACATGCTCTCACTGTGTATGTGTGTGAGAGAGAGAGAAAGAGAGAGCAAGTGTTGGTTCTAATGCAAGCATCCATTTTCCAGTTTGCTGATATGCGATTCCCTCAGATGAGATTGGAGACAGGCTGGTCCCATAAGGCACCAGGAGCAGACTTAGACCACCAAGATTGTCTCACACATTCATCAGCTACGCCCTAACATGGAGTTTATTCAGTATGGAATGTTAGATCATTTGAAAAGGTATGCTATCTGTAACTTTTCTAAGTTTGTATGTTTATTCAAAGCCTACATATTCAAGCCTACTACACATGTTTAGGCCCACTTTGTTAATAGAACACTGTAGACTGTTTCCTTGCTTTAGCTGTCATCTGTTTCCACAGGTCTGCCGTCTTTAGTTGAGTTTATTCCTGAAAACAATCAGCCATCATCAGCCTGTGTCAGTCTAAATAAAAACTAACCGCTCTCACCTTTAAGTGAAACAGATGAAATATGTGATTTTGTTTTGTCAACTTGTCACACATTTAAGTTATAAACCAAGTGAGTTAGGTTAAAAAAAAACCAAAAAACTTTTCTGACAGCAACCTAACACACATTTTAAATCCACACATCACGACCACACAGGCCATGTTAATGAACCGCAACTAATTATGCTTCTGTTACACTGATCAAAGTCCAACGTGGGTCCACACAGGAACATTTGCTTCATGAAATCAGGAATCTCCCTGGCGTCACATATGAGAAGCATAAAATGTTTAAATTCTGCAGCTGAATAATAACTGCATAATCTGTAGGTGGATATTGACAATTGTCTTGGTGCTACTGAAAATGTATTTGTTTAAAAGAAGCTGCACAACATGAACAAACATGTTGCTCTGCTATCAGTTTTACATCGAATCAGCTACTTTAAAATGTAGTTAAAGATGTTGAGCCTACAAAAGTTGCAAATCCTTGTAAAGACCTCATACAGCCCTAAAGGAATGCTGAACAGAGACAACTGAAGTACAGTATGTCTGAAGATCAATTATATAAGAACATTAGGATCTCCTATAAAGTTTCAATTTTAATTATGATTATTTCAACACAACAACATTACAGTGGAGATTTAAAACCCATTTCATAAAAGATAAAAGGGTGGGAAGAATCCTTTATCATGCTGGAGCACTTTTATAAAAATCTGTTTTAGTGGATGGGAAGAGAGACTTACTGTCAGCTGTGCTTATATTGAAGATATAACCCAGGGTGGACTGAACAAGTGATAATAATAAAGGCTCTGTTCATTTTTGGACTGTAATATTTATAACAGTGATCCTTAAACAGAGTGGCCCTAAATCTATTTAG